GTCTGGCCACCTCGCAGAAGTCCAATCTACATTCTGCTTTTAGACTAGTTTTATCTCCACTGACTATCTGAGAGATCTCTTTCATAATAAACACAAAGCTCAACCGGCTAATAAACAGCACCATTTTACCCATTTATAGTGTGTTCTTTGACCTGATGATAGAGTACTTATACATCCCTGTATAAACAAGTCACCACTGTGGACTGTATAGAATGTTTATTCAAGGGTACATGGTGTATTTCCAATTGTTGTATTTCCTCTAGGGCTGACATGAACTCCAAAAATCCTGACTTCAGATAATGTGATATTATCAAAGTTATACTTTGATTTAGAGTGCGCAAGCTGAAAGACTGTCAACATCTGGGTCCTGCTGCACACTGCTCCGTACTACAAACACAAATGCACTGTGATCACACTGTGTTTTGGTGCCAAGTTTGTTACCAAGTGAGCCGTGCGGCGTAATTACAGCACGAATACCGCAGGGAAAGAGTCAGCCAAGATATCAGACGTGCTATTACTGGAAATGTGGCTAAATATTTCGCTTTCGCTTTTCCCAGGCCCTCGGTGGTAAGTGATGTTTAGGCCAGTAACAAAACACGGAGAACGAGCGCAGGGAAATACTGGCTGCAGAGAGTTTGCATGTGGGTAAAGTTATGAATACTAAATTCAAGTCACCTCACCTTTTCAGGTGTTCGTTCAGGGAAGAGAGCAGGGTGGATGGATGCTCATCTGAAACTATGGAAGAGTAGAAGGGAGATGAAGAGGAACATAAAAGAGAGACTACAAAAGGAAAGGGAATGGTGGCGTTTTGGAGTGACAGACAAAGAGAAGCAAAAGAGTAATTCACTATTTTTTCCAGACTAGTCTGTCTGACAGCTGATAAGATAGATGAAAGCCAGCCGAGATGCTCATCACAATCACACGTGCGTCATGTGCGATGGTCTTCTTCTGGGCACTCAATGAGCCGGTAATTGGAGGAAACAGATTAAGGAAACCCACCAATTAGAAGAGAACATCATAGATAGACCGGCCACAAAGGGAGAGAAAGTAAAAAGAAAAATGAGTGACGGGACAGAAAAGGACAGATGAATGGAGTAAAAGAGCATAAATAAAATGGGCCACAGGGTTTTAAAAGCAAAGAAAATGACATTCTCACAAATCTACTAATTTGTAAACAGTGATTGTGACAGATGCGTGCTGGACTAAATTATACTGATGCAGCTTCGGACCTCATTGCTCAGTGATGCTGCAGAGACCTGGTAACGCCACAATAAATGAGAATGACGCAAGCAGGACACACTATTAGCCTCAGACGGTGATCGGGTTGTCAGGAGAGCCGGCGAAGCAGGACGCAAAGAAATACGGGTCAGAGCCTGAGACAAATAGAATTTCACTCCCGTGCTTTGTCCTTATTACATTACATCCGGGACACGAAGAGATGTGTTAACATTGAATCCAAATCATGTTAGAGACGTCTGGAAATTGGACTAAATTGTCGCGGTGCAGCTAAGAAACAAGTGGTCAGTGTGTTTTGGACATGAAGACGGTGATCCGTAAGTCCCAGGGAGCGAGGGGATGAGAGCTGCAAAAGGCAATTTCTACTCCGTCCTTATCTGACTTCACACCTGGAAGCGTGTTGTGTCCCTCTGACATGGACTCGTTCTGACTGGGAAGACCTGACTCACCAAAATGTGCGCCGGCCAGTGTGAGAAGATCAGGCCTTCTTCATGCACAAACACAGTTTGACATGACGTCATTGTCTTTAGACAATACATTTTTTTTGCCAGGGTGGTGGAAATCACATGATAAAGGTACTAGGAAAGAGTCAAGATTGACACAGAGACAAACAACCATTCACACTCACATCCACACACCTATAGGAACATTTAGAATAACCAATCAATCTTATCCCCAGAGCCCTCATGTGATCCCCATGTGATCCCCGCGGTAACACCGTCCATCCCGCCGTCACCAGCATCCCCTGACTCACACACCGGTTCCCCCACATAACCCCTGCAGCACGTTACTGCTCACTTCCACTCATTCGCTGTCAGGGTGTCTCACTGTGCTTCCCCGCTTGTTTACCCCTTTTGACTTTTAGCCCGGTGCCAAGCCAGAGGTCTGTTTTGTTAGCCAAAGAATTTGTTTATTGGCTTCTTGCTGCCCTCGGATTGCCCCTTGGACTCTGCCTCTCCTTTAATAGCCTGATGCAAGACTTTTATTTACTCACTGAGGGCTGATATATGCAACACTTATGACACTTATCATCTTGGTTTAAAAGTTTTGGTTTAACCCTTTCCTACGGCCCCTTGAGGCATCCTGTTGCCAAGGCTCTGAATGCTTGATAACATTTTGCATTAAGGTATTACAACAAGTTGTACTGGTGGTCACCACAGGGCAGGCTTTGGCAGGCGATATCCCACTGAGTTAAGTGGCCTTGTTAGTCATTCGGCTTCATGTGTGTGTATTTGTTGGCCGTAATGTATAACTGACATTGTGCCGCAGCTGGGTGAACAAAAGTTAATAGACTAATGTTATCGGAGTTTTTATGTTTCTCAGTTTAGAGTTTTCGTAGCTCCTGCTCATAATTGACAACCTAGAACTACACTGCATTAAAACATTTCTACATCATTATGTTTCCACAAATTGTGTCAACTTATATTTGGTTTACCTAACCAGTATTTAATTTGTGTTATCACCTTATTTGAGGGATGGATATACCTTTATTTATGTATTTAAGTAAATATATATATACTGTATATATACACCTTCAGTTTGATATGTATTCCATATTAACTAGTTTTAACAACAACAACAACAAAATGTCTCCTTAGTTTTAAAAACATGCTGTTAGATTCTAGACAAATCTAGACAGAAGCTCCTCCGACAGGTTGAGGTACATTGACGTTGGCAATATGTGTGCTTCACAAATTCCAACTCAACAGAGCATGTTTCCAGCCGTGCCGAAAACGTCTCCGTCCCCGCCGGCCTCTGGGGTAGAAAATGGAGGTCAAAGCCACATAGCCAATCGTTCTTTGGCAGAAAAGGTAACGATGCAGATCGTATTTCGAATAGAATAGAATAAGTACTTTATTGATCCCCTAGGGGAAATTCACGATCTAGGTAGCGCCTGACAATATGCAAACATAATATACACATACAGTTAAACCATTAAAAGGATTATCAAAGAAAAATTTAAGTTAAAACACACATTAATAGCCTGATGCAAGACTTTTCAAGCTGGGGGTGGAGAGAGGGAGGGGTGGGGGTTTGTGCAAGGGGGGGGGGGGGGGGTGGCGAAAGGCCACATAGCCCAGTAAACATGGCTCACTAGAAGTTTTTCTAGTGTTTTTCTAGTGAGAAAGAGTGATTTAACGTATAGCTCACCCTGCCTGGAGACTTTGGCTCAGCTTCAACTGAGGTTTAGGAAAGCGCTTGCTCAAACAAAATGCCTCCAGAAATCTGTTTTGGATTAAAATATATTTTTTCAAGATGTCCATTAGCTTTGTTCTCACTTCACAGAAGTGATCAACCGCTTGGAGCATATTTCATCACTCTGTGTTTTGTGTGGCCAGATATACACCGTTATCTGATTACGGACAACAGTGAGTCGTTGCTCTGCAAGTTTCCAATACAGGAACTCTCAAACAAGCCTTTACAAATATTTAAATGCATGCAAATATAGCGGAGGATGACGATGATCACAGAGTATCCAGTTTGGTTGGGTGTAAATTTACAAGTCCTACTATGTGTTAACGTGGTGGGACTGGTCTTATATTGTGTTTTATACTGTTAGATTTAATTTACTTACTAACACATTTTTCCATTGGGGTCAATTTGACCCCAGCAATTTGAAACTCCAGAAAATCATCAGAATTCAAATTGTTCACGTATTAGGAACTTTGTGTTTGTTTGTTGACTCCCTAAATAGCACATTAGATTAAAAAAAAAACACCCACGCCCTTAAGGATAACACAAGACAGTTCCTGGAATGCATTGTTGCTTGGGAAAATAATGATGCTGCCCGGATAGTAAATACCCATTTATTTTTTGAATTCACAAGAATCATTTCCAATTTCCCTTGAAACATCTGCTGACTCTAGCAATCAATATGAAATGAGTGTTTGAAAGTCAACTTAGAATGCTGCACGCATTTGCCAACTACTTTTCCGACATTTTTAAGAAAGGACACATTCATTCAATTCAATTTGAACCTGTATCCAAACTTTTGACTGGCTATGTACATCTCACCTAATGCACTATAACTCACCAGGTTTGAGTTGGACATTTATTCTCACTAATAACGGCCATCATTACAAAGCCTTGGCTAACTGCTCTTCCTAAAATGTTTAAACGTTTGGCATAATTAAGTTAACCTTTGGCTGTGTTTCTCCACGGCCCAATCCCCTCATCCTTCATCATCACCATCCTCTCTGAGACTGCTTCCAGAGTCCGCTTTGCCCTTGGCTGTGTCACAGACACATCCAGTTGTCTGTCTCAGCCTCTTCGGGTACACAAACGACCACTTCGATGTCGACCAGAGTCATTTGTCTTTTTTATGCGTCTGCTCTGTCTAACCTCCGGCTCCTTTTTGTTTTAATCAATGTCTCCCTCCGAGTCGCCATTATTGGCGGAAGATAGTTCATGCAGATTTATGAGTTGCGATGACGACACGCTGGTGTCACAGCTCTGCCTAATTCCCATGGAAATGACCGTTTGTGTGTTTTTTTACACAGCATACAGCTGAGTCACTATTCTATTAACTATTAGCTGAGTCACTATTATTCTCTATTTGGGGAAATGTTTGTAATCCCCACTACTTTAACCTGTTCACATTGAAGACCTCGTGTCATAAATCTCAAAAGCCTAACTTGCGAAAGGGAAAACAAGCCCCGCGCGCTGTTTTAATCACCTTTACCTTCACCTTTACTGTTTCTATGCGCAAAACCCCGCTCATGCTGGCGGATCCGATCCGAAAGTGGCCCAATGAAAGGAGGGAGGAACAGAAAGAGCGCGCTTGGAGACGGGAAGCTGCTGGCTGCTCCGCGTGTAGCGCGCACCTCCCCTCTCCAGAGCGCAGAGGAGAGCTTCCTCTTTTCCTTCCTTTTTCTTTTTTGTTACGGATCCCGAGCTGTCTCTGTTGCGTCCTTCCGCCGCCGCTGCTGCTGTTTTGTTGTTGTTGTTGTTGTTGTTGTTGTGGAAGGGAAATCGTCGCCCGAGTGACGCACCGACGGCAGACCGCGAAGCGCCGGCGCCAACCTGAAGGACATCGCAACTTTAAAACAAGTCGCAACACAGTTGGAAGCGGTGGCTGGGTGCGGGTTCTGAATGGAGACACCTGACTGCTCGTAACGCCCCAGCTGCGCGTCGGCTGAATTACTCTTTGCAGCTGTGACGGCTAAAGGAATGTGGAACACGAGTCTATCCGAGCGGTGAGTGTTGTTGCGCGTTTTCAAACGCCTCTTCTCTTCCTCCTTAGCGGCGTTTTGTCGGACTGCGCAACCCTTTTTGCAGTTTGCTGCAGAAAGCGTCGACTGTTTCGGTTTGCACACTTCACTGGAAGCAAAACATGTATAACAACAGCTCACCTATCCATTGAGAGCATTATGTGGAACTTTTATACCAATTATAAGCTTGTTATAAGCTTGACGCATTTCCTCACCTGTCCATCCCCCCTCACTCAGTAAGAGGACCTGCCTCCTGTCAACATGACCGCGGACCTGAACTTGACCTCCTGGCTGAATGTAACTGAGCTTCACAATGACACCAGAGGATGTTCCCTCACCAGGACAGGATTCCAGTTCTACTACCTGCCCACTGTTTACATCATGGTCTTCATCACGGGGCTGCTGGGCAACAGCCTGGCCATCTGGATGTTCGTGTGCCACATGAGACCCTGGAGCAGCATCTCCGTCTACATGTTCAACCTGGCGCTGGCGGACTTCTGCTACGTGCTCTCCCTGCCCTTCCTCATCTTCTACTATTTCAACAAAACCGACTGGATATTCGGGGACGTTCTGTGCCGGCTGCAGCGCTTCATATTCCACGTGAACCTCTACGGGAGTATTCTGTTTCTGACCTGCATCAGTGTTCACAGGTACACCGGCGTCGTGCACCCGCTCAAGTCCCTGGGCAGGTTGAAGAAGAAGAATGCGGTTATTACCAGCATGTTGGTGTGGGCGGTGGTTATTATAGCTATGTCCCCCATCCTGTATTATTCCAGGACTGGCTTGAAGCGTAGCGCGACCACTTGTTATGACACCACCACTGAGGATGAGTTACCTGGTTATTTCATCTACAGCATGACTTTGACTGTGTTCGGGTTCTGCGTTCCCTTCATCATCATATTTTGCTGCTACGGCATGATTGTCAAAGCGCTGATCTGCAATGATATGAACAACGCGCCCCTGCGGCGTAAATCTATCCACCTGGTTATCATCGTGCTGGCAGTCTTTGCCGTCTCCTACCTGCCGTTCCACGTGATGAAGAACCTGAACATGAGGGCCAGGCTGTACTTTCAGGGGCCCGACATGTGTGATTTTAACAACCGCGTCTACGCCACCTATCAGGTGACACGGGGGCTGGCCAGCCTCAATAGCTGCGTGGACCCTATTCTTTACTTCCTGGCTGGAGACACGTTCAGGAGGAAGCTGTCCCGGGCCACTAAAAAGCCTTCCAGGAAGGGGGACAATGCCCTTCAGTCCAAGAGCGAGGAGACGGCTCTCAACAGCCTGGCAGAGTATGTGGAGAATGGCGACCGGAGGCTGTGACGGGGCACCTCTGTGTGCCTACTGGTCACGGGCGCCGGTTTCTGTTGGCTTAAGAAGGCACGATGGACTCCATATTGATTAAATAGACGCACTGTGTGTGTGCTGAAGGCTGTGTGTGAAACTTCATGGTTTATAGAACTGTAGGATAAATACTTCATCTAACCCTTGTGATGACCTTTGCAGCCTGTCGTTGGTAATAAGCTATCGTACCGTGTCGTCATGTACACGTGTTGTACTCTAAATGTTACAGCCGTCGCTTTTCACTCTCATCGAGTAAAAAAAAAAAAAGTGGGGGGGGGACGGAATGCAGCTCATCCAGCTTCTGAGCGGATGCTTGATCAATAGTTATTAAGCGGGAGAGGTGGGGTTGGGGAGGTGTAGCCGCGATGGCTTCTAGAGGAGAAAGTGAAAGCACTGAAGCTGAGATTGCTGCATGGATGTACCGTGCAGACTTTGCAATGCACTATGACTCTCTGCTCAGAGGGCTACCTGTCACTGCTAATTTCATCCACCATCTAGTATTGACTTTGCCAACAATGTGGTCGTTGGGTTTCTTATTTTGACAGCTCTGAGGTTTTGGTCTGTAACGGCGCTGTTAGCCTTTACAGACTTTTCCCCCTTTTTGTTCACATGTTCCTCCCAGAAAAAAAGAGAAGATAATACGTACAGTATTTTTGTGTATATGATGAATGTTGTTGTTTTTTTTGGGGGGGGGGGGGTGCTGTACAGGATGTTGTGACGTCTATTTGTGTTGTTTGTGTCCAATCGATGTCACTAATGTAGACCTTTATTGCATGAGCCCAATCAAATGCAATCAGTGACACACTAACCGCAGCCGGTTCAAACTCTTGACGACTGTTTATTGGAGCATTAGAAATAAATAATGTCTTAGATGAGCAACACGCATTCAATCACCTGCTTTGTGACTCCAACGTATTGAAGACTTGTTTTGTATGAGACGCATCAGAGTAAATACTGCACATGTCCGTGTTTTGACAGGTAATCATTTCTCTTTTGTATCTGTTGTAATCACTGTGGAGAAATGGTTGTGGAGTGTATATATTTTACCCTGGACTACACAGGTGTTTGATGTCAGTACTAATACCTTTGTTAATCTGTAACGTGGTCAGCTATTGTCAAGAAAGGAAGCGACTCAAGCGATCTTTGTCAATAAATTTTTATATTTAAAACAATCTGCTAAGCCCCTCCTACTTCTTTCAACATCATTATAAGTATATGATTTTTAGCATTTGTGTCTCGTTCTTTGTGCCAGGTGCACCCGTCCTTGGCTAAATATGTGCACTGTGTGAACAAACAGTGCCCCCTTCTTCCTCCTCCTCCTCCTCCTCCCTCTCCACGCTCTTGAATTTATTTTTCAACACGGCCAGGAGGAAGCGAAGGGACGAGTGAGGAATAAAGAGTGGCACCCTTTTCTCCTGGCTTATCCTAAGACAGCTTTTGTGTCCGTCACAATGGTGCGGAGCTATTGATGCAGACAGCGGTGCGCGGCCGTCGCCAGGACCCCGGGGCCGCGTGTTGTTGTGGGCACCGGAAGCCCACCAACCCTCTTCCTCCAAACGGGGACCATGAATACAAACAGCTTCTGCTTTTCTGGCTGTGAGGTTGTGTGTGTGTGTTTGTCTGTGAGTGTTTGTATCTCTGTGCTATGGAGCCCGAAGGCAACAAATGACTTATTTGAGTAGGTGGCTGTTATTGCCATTGCTGTTTGTAATTGTTAGATGTTTCATTATCAAAAGGCCCTGTAACAGGCAGATGGGAGTGTGAATTTATATGTTTGTGTGTTTATTTGTAGAACATATCCTCCCTTCTCTGTGTACACGTCATGAAATGAAAGCAAGTTGAGATTCAGCCAGTAACGCCAGTGTTTTTGATTTTCAAACCTTGACTTGGAAAGAGTTGGGACTCCTGCCAGTGTCTCCTCCCTCCCTTCTGTGCTACATTTAACCTTTTTTCTCCCACATCCTCCTTTTCTTTATTTCAAATCTAGAAAAAAAAAAAGCCTTTTCTTCACCGTATTTCACTACCTTTGGTGCAACACTGTTTGAATAGATGCTGGGAAGAAAGAGAGGGAAGAGTTGAGGTTGAGTAATGGCAGTTGTGGAGAACAAAGATTGTGCGTGTTTTTCCCAAGGACACTGTTGGAGGCAGGGGGGGCCCACAGGGTAATCGCTCTCAGTACAGCTAAACTGAAATACTTAGCTTTGTTCCTGGAGATTTATAACGTAAACTGGCACACCCACTTCCCCCAGAGGGGCGACGGCTGCTTGAGCCAAAAAACGAACCACACAAAACATGATCCACATTTCAGCGTTTGGTCTTTTATGAGCAACCCGCTTACACAAACAATCATAGGACAGCGTGAACGTTGCGTCATGCCGCAGGGTTTAGTGAATCCTCTGAGAGTATTGGACAATGCTGCAAAGTTTGCACAAGGAAATAGAAAGTCACAATTATATGAGTTGCCAAGTTGTTGCATCATATTGACTCATGCAATAACTTTAGTTTGTGGATCAACATTTAACACAACACAGGTGTAGAATTTAGTTTTGCAATGAAAGTATGTCAACAGGAAGAGGGTATATATTATTTAGGCTGTGCAGAGCATTGACATCCAAGAGGGAGATACAGTGTTTGTATACAACATGATGCAGGTTTCTGACTGTAGCAATTGAGTAAACACATTTTGTTCATAAGCTGTTGTTTACAACGCTGATGTTAACATGTTTACTCGGAGTTGCTCCCCTTCTCCCCCCATTCAAACACACACAGACACATTAATAGTTTACAGATTACATAATGAACACATAATGTGTTGTGCATTGTGCTGAACCTGATTGCCCATGTGTGAAAGTAGGATGAAATGTATGTATCCAAACTCAAATCTGTCTTCCATGTGTGTGTGTTACATTTTTAATATTATAGGAGTTTACAACCGTTCGCGGAAAGCAACTAAATACATTTACACACGAACACCACTTGAAAACAGTTCAAATGTCGTTAAACTTAAGTATTTCGATTCCATGCTTTTTAAAATGTTTACTTCATTTCACTGTTACATAATACACATGTTGTTCCATTACATGCATTTGTAAGCTAAAGCAATTATTTAATTTGCAGAATATAAGATTTTCAAACATATGAGCATGAAACATGTATTATTGTATCCCTGCCAACATACAAAGACACTGTAGTTTCTCAGTATTATCAAATTAAGCTGGTCGACCAAACAAAGTCAACCATGTCATGTCAATTTTGGCAAAGGAAAACCAGAGTGCTAATTTTTAAAGTGGTCCCTTAACCTTTCACCTTAACACACACAGATGAAAGTGGGCTCAGCGTTGAGTCGCCCCAGTCCAGACATTACGCTGAATCCTTTTTGCTTCTACCGTGTAGCAGTAGTAGTATATGTATGTAGTCATGTTTATTATTGTTGCCTATTTAAAAAAGTTTTCTCCAGCTTTTGGATGATACACTGCACAGTATTTAGTTTATTTTGCTGGTTCTATTTTTAGCTTTTCGTAACAGTGTCGTAATCCACCTGCTCTTGTTTCTTTTTCTTCTTCTTCTTTTGTTTGAATGTTTGGTTCATGTCATTTATTTATTCATGCAGGTTGATTTCCTGTTCTATTACTCACCTCTCTTACGGTTTCCGCTAACAACTTCCTGTTTACGTGTGTTTTTCCGCTCGTTTCGATTGTGCGCCCCGCCCCAATGAGCTTCACCTGTCCTCTAGTTAGCCGTGCAGTCGGCCTCCTGCTCACCTGCTCTTAGTCACTTCCTCATTAGTCATTCAATAGGCACACCATGGCACGTTTCGATTTGCCATAAAAATGACCTCCTAACGTCGGTTCCTAACCACTATTCCTTGACCTCTGTAGAAAACGTCTCGGGGTCAAGGAAAGATGGTTAGGAGAATTAGGAGAATTAGGAGAAAGTTAGTAAAAGACAGCTGCAGATTTATGCTTTTCACTAAGCTACGTGGTTAAGATACGAGGGGAGACGCATGTTGGTGACGTCAGTCTGCAGCGACAAAACTACAATTTCTACGATGATGGACTACAAAGAAGCTTCTTTGAGGCCTTCGTGCCTGTGTTGTTCCACTGCTGAGTCACGCAGATGACATAAAACAACCAGATTAAAAGTATTACTTCATTAAGAAGGTTGCAATATAAATGAGTTGTGCTATCGGTTATTTAGATGATCTGCTTTAGTCGGTCATCGTTATTTCTCGTAAACTTCCGAATGAAACGTTAAACACACGCCGCAAGAAATTGTGGGACGGAATTATCTCCTTTCCTTTGGTAAAGGACGGTCTAGTGGTTCCTACGCTAAAGGAGTAGGGAAGCTTTAAAGCTCCTTTCCTTAGCATCAGAGGATTCAAACAGCTCTTATCATGGCGGCCACTACTTCCGGGTTGTTTCACTCAGTTAGGAACCTTTCTTAAGCAAATTTGACAATTCAAATCTGCCCTAGTTTGTTGTTGTCGCTGCGTTTCAATTAGTTGTACCTGCCCGGCCTTTTGTCTGTTTATATTAAACAAATGCACATAGAAATGAAGCATAAATAATAAACTGTGTTTGGCCGATTTTGACTATTTGAAATGAGCTGGATTGTCTTCAGGGGAGAGTGTTAAATGCTTGTGTTAAATGATGGAATTGTTTTTGTTGTGTTCATCATGTTGTCAGACAAACTCAACATGTTTGACCGTCGAAGCCAGAAATACTATGGACACGTAAAAACAAAATGGAAAACACACTCCTTGCTCGTTCGCCCACAGATGGTGTAAGCATAACATTGAACGAGAAGCATCATCATTATAAACACTTGGGCTGCTGTAAAGTTGTGTTTATATTTTGTGCTGCAGGCAGGAACAATATTAGACTGACATTGTATATAAAATGAGCAAGGATTAGATAGAAGCCAAAGTGGGAGAGGGTGTTTGTGTGTGTGTGTGTGTGTGTGTGTGTGTGTGAGAGAGAGAGCCGAGGCTGCGGTTTATGATCAATATCTCTGCGGCCGCTCCCGTCTGGCTTCTTGTTGATTTTCTGCCACTTTTTGGCATCATCGTCTATCAACTTGACTCATGGCTCACTGGCTGACATCCGCAAACCAATGTCTCTGATATCAAGCGGTTACAGTAATCAAATGACACCTGGACCTCAAATGTGTTTAATTTATAAAAGTGGTTTGGCTAGCTTGGTGTCGGACTTATAATTGTTTATGCAAGACGTAAAGCCGACGCTGATTGCAGTCTCACAGATATCAAATGGCAGTTTGCGAAAGAAGCAACGAGCGTGGAGTCAGACAGGGCGGGATGAGCTGGCCTGTCTTAATAAGTTATGGGCGAGGTGTGAGCATAAGAATCTGAGAACTACGGCAACACCAAATGTGCTGTAGGCATTAAAAAAAAAAAAAAAAACTGCGAAACACAGTGCTAAAGAAGCTAAAAATAAACATGCTGCTCTGTGCAGTACACTGACAGAATATACAGGGTGAAGGATACGGGAGGAAGAGAAATGGATCAAGGTCACAGTCATAGTAAATAGAGAGAATTTGTGGTACAAACAAAACGTATTGTCAACAGAGCAGGTTAGGCCGGTCACACCAATTACTGCAAGGGCTTCTGCACAAGAAGAGCATCGTGAGGCAAAAACAGTTAAAAATAGTTTCGAAACATATTTGGGATACATTTTGAAATAAGAGAAATTTGAGTTAGAAAATAACAACATAGCTCTAACATTTTAGTATGAAACGTCCTTAGTCTGGCGCTTCCTTCTGCTTTCAGCTCATCAGCTCATTCAGTTATATAAAGGCTGAAGATCAAGCTCTGCACTTCACTGAAAGTCCAATGCTTTTATTAGCTGGTACCCTGTCAGCCTGCCAGCGATCTGGAGGGGGGATGAGAAATCTCTATGTTCACATAGGATCAGTGTTTGTTCCAGAGAGTGGGAAAAGGTTGTGTGTTTGAAAGTGAAGGTGAGCAAGAGCTGTGCAGCGAGCGGTGTGTAGGCATATCTATATACAGCAGGTGAAAAATGGAAACATTGAAGAAACATAACCATATGGGCCATCTGAGGAAGGGGAACTGCTGACTTTCGCCTTCGCAACTTCCCTCCCCCTCACCAATTTTGGTTTGCTGTGGTGGAAAAGACTCAAGCCTCCGTGGAACCTC